AACCTCCAACTCCTGGGCTCAAGCGAGTCTCCTGCCTCAGCCTCCCAAGTAGCTGGGACCACAGGCGCCCACCACAAGGCTTGGCTATTTTTTTTTTGGTTGCAGCGATCATTGATGTTTGGCAGGCCTGGGCTGGATTCGAACCTGCCACTTTAGGTGTATGTGGCTGGCCCCTTAGCCACTTGAGCCACAGGTGCCGAGCCACATTTCTCTTTCTTATAAAACATCTGACCTTCTCTGGGTTCTTAGGACATACCCAAGACCACCAGGTCTGTGTCTTTCTTCCTAAATAAAACGTTAAATTTAGAGCTTTGTCTCTACATCTTTATTCTAACTTCAACTGATCCATGGGGGACCAGTGCTTCAAAGCTGGCTGTATCCCCATAGAGCTAGCTTTCTAAGGCCTTACTCTGTGATAGAATGTTGTGTTCCCCTATTCTCCCATCTTCCCTGCTGTACCTTACCTACCCGGTTTATGTACACAGACACTCTGGAAATTTGCTTTCTGGAGCAATCCTACTCTGGCTTCAGTGAGACCACTACCCCATATCTGAGGGGCCCCAGTGAAAGCTCCGGATGGGGCTGCTGAAGATATTTTTTAAGCGCTAAAAATTAGGGGCCTGGCTCAGTGGCTAGGGCGCCAGCCACATACATCAGAGCTGGCAGGTTCAAATCCAGCCCAGGTCCGCCAAACAACAATGACAACTACAACCCAAAAATAGCCAGGTGTTGTGGTGAGCACCTGTAGTCCCAGCTACTTGGGAGGCTGAGGTGAGAGAATTGCTTAAGCCCAAGAGTTGGAGGTTGCTGTGAGCTGTGACACCACGACACTCTACCCAGGGTGACAGCTTGAGACTCTGTCTCAAAAAAAAAGGTGGCACCTGTGGCTCAAAGGAGTAGGGTGCCAGCCCCATATGCCGGAGATGGTGGGTTCAAACCCAGCCACGGCCAAAAACTACAAAAAAGAAAAAAAAAATTGGGGGCCAAAGCCTATTCATTCATTCAACTGGTTTGTGCTGAAGTAGCTACTATGTGCTCACTCTGTGCTAGGGCCTGGGGACAAAGTGGTCAACATGCCATGGTTCTCACCGTCGAGGATGTTCCAGTGCCTAGGAGTAGACACAAGTAAATAAGCACTTCCAACAAAGTATGATAAGCATGGAGGCGGGAGAGGAACAGGCTCTTACAGGGACTCATACGAGGCAATGGCAATTAGTCTAGACTTGGGGGATCAGAGAAGGCTTCCTAGAAGAAGTAATGTCTTAACTGAGACCAAGGAATGAGTCAGAACCAGGCCCGCCACTGTGCATTACTCACAAATGTTCACGCCCAGGCACATTTAGCTCACCCACTCACCTTACTTCACCTCCTCTACTTTGCCTCTTTGCCTCACCTCACCTATGTAATCTGCTATGTGATCTTTCAGGAATGCCAGCTTATATTTACATTTATTCCAGCCAGATAGGTTTAGAAAGGTAAGTATGTAGCCTTCAAAAGAATCCTTGACTCAATGATTGAGAAACAAAATTGCCAAATTCCTGGCGGCTTCTGAGCATATGTTAAACCAGTTGAGTGGGCTTCTCCAGAAGAGACTCAGACACCCAGCCGGGCTGAGCTACACAACCTGAAACTCTAGTCTTGAGTTTGTTAATTGAGCAATGAACTGTAAGGTTGAGCAAGTTTCTTTTCTTTTCTTTTCTTTTTTTTTTTTGGAGACAGAGTCTATATCACCCTTGGTAGAGTGCTGTAGCATCACAGCTCACAGCAACCTAAACTCTTGGGCTTAAACGACTCTCTTGCCTCAACCTCCCAAGTAGCTGGGACTACAGGCGCCCACCACAATGCCCAGCTATTTTTGTTGTTGTTGTTGTTGTTGTTGTTGTTGTTTAGCAGCCCCATCCAGGTTCAAACACACCAGCCCCAGTGTATGTGGCTGGTGCCCTAACCACTAAACTACAGGCACTGAGCCAGTTTCTTAACTTCCCTAGACTCTCTCACTTGATTAGTAGAAGTGAAGTCAGTCCCCAGCTGCCTTCCACCTCTGCTAGGAAGTGAATCAAGTTTTTTTGTTTTTTTTTTTACAAACCTAAATGGAAGTGATTCTCAAATGGGTGATGCCATAGAAAGCAAGCTGAGGTCCTCACTAAAATGGCACCTGAAGTGCCAAGACAGTGTTTAGGGATCGAGCAGGCAGGCTTGCAGCCTACCCCTCTGCACTTCTCTCGGCTCTTCCCTCCACCAGGTTGGAGAAGGCATCCGTTGTGTCCCCATAGATTGTTCCTACTTATCAGCGTTAACTGATTGGAGTCAATCCAATCTACTTCAGCCAGGGACAGACAGCAAGGGACATGTGTGGCCTGTTTCATAGCCCACACTTCCTGCTCTGCCACATTTTGTTACCTTCCTCCTTCTTACTAATTAGCTATTACTTAATCTGCAGTAAGTGAGGCGGACTCACCGCACAGCCCCCTCCAGGTACCTACATGCTCCATGCAAGTTCAAGCCAAACAGCTCCAAGGTAGTGACAAGTTCTCTTCTGACAACTCCCACATCAGCATGACTCAGAAGTGTTGGCTGAATACACAGGTCTTCAGTACTCTCAGCCTCAGCCAAAAGTCTCCAGTTTGACAATAAATGACTTCTCTTATTAACACTTTTCTTGCTGGGAGTGTGAGGGGGTGGACAACACTTTCATTTGGTGTGAGCCCAAGGGTTTTGCATGATCCAGGGAGCAGGGGACGATGGTCGAAGGGAGTGAGATATCGACATAGCCCAAAGAGTGTGTGCAGTTTGTGTGTGTGAGAGAGGGGGTGTGTGGTGTGATATGTGTGCTGTGTGTAGAGTGTGTGGTGTGTGTGTGGTGCAGTGTGTGTGTGGTGTGTGGACTGTGTAGTGCAGTGTGTGTGTGATGTGGTGTCTGTGGAGTGTGGTGTGTGTGTGTGGTGTGTGTTTGTGTGATGTAGTGTGTGTGTGGTGTGATGTGTGTGGAGTGTGGTGTGTGTGTGTCATGTGGTGTGTATGGTGTGATGTGTGTGTATGGAGTACGTGGTGCATTATGTGTAGTACAGCGTGTGTGTAATGTGTGTATGTGATGTAGTGTGTGTGTAGAGTGCGTGGCATGTGCAGATGGTGGGGATGGTGGGGTAAGTCAAGGAATGTCAAGTTGGTTTTCATGTCATTTAGGGGAAATGAAATGTGAAAGATGACATTGTTCATAACAGATACACAGGAGAATGCTTACCACAGATGCATTCTAATCTGTGAATGCTTTTGCCTTTCTAACTCTACAATAGAAGCCAAAGACACTTTAAAGGGAGTGGCAGGTCACTAGCTCTCTCCCAGTGAGAGTTTTTTTTTGTTTGTTTGGAGTTTTTGGTTTTTTTGTTTGTTTGTTTGTTTTCTTTTTTTTTTT